TTTCTGTGCGCAGTGTGTTTTCCTGAAATTTATAAATAGTTCCATCCTTCTCTGCCTGGCCAGCCAGGCCCGCTCCTGGCAGGATAGGGGTCCGAGGAGGCCGTGCTCTATTTCTGCTGAGGCTGGAGTCCTAGGAGCCCAGCTTGGGTGGCATTTGCATATGACTCACAAACTGTCCTGGAACACTTAGGGAGCCCCTGTCCCCGGTTCTCAGCTGCCCTTTCTGTCTCCCTCTGCAGCCCCTCCTCAGGGATGACCGACTTCCATTCTCGGGGAACCATTGTTTTGGGGGCTCCCTGGCCCCTCTCCCTGAAGGAGAGGGAGGAAATGGTCTATTTCTCTTCCCTTCCCTCACTAAATCCAAAGGTTTCCCTTTTTTGGTTTGTGAAATGCAAGAAGAGAATCTGGGAAAGGGTTGTGGTCAGGCCTCCACCCACACCCCAATATCCGTCCCCTATGCCCCTTCCTCCGTCTAGGGGAAGCACAGTGGACCACGGCAGTTTCCGCCCAACCCTGGTGGGGAGAGGCTGGGAGAGGAGGTGCAGGCTCTCCATGCACCGGACCCTGGATGTCTACCCCAGGCATGGAAATAGATGCTAAGGCCGGGGCACCGACCTGCCAAAGGTCACCCAGAGTGGCAGAGCTGAGATTTGAACCTTCAGCCCTCTGGGGTTTTCTCCCATCTTTTCCATCCAGGCAACTTGCCCTTTTCTCTGGAGAGGTGGCTCTGGGGTGTCATGGGTGGGCAGCTGGGATGCCTGATGCTGAGGCAGTGATCCTGGCAGCCTTTTTGGGTGGGAGAGGCCCAGGCAAGCAGGCATTCCAGCCCCCACCCCTTTCTGCTTGGCTCAGTGCACTGGAGGTGTGGGCCTGCGGTTTTTTTTTTCTCTCTTTCGAGGGAGGGTGCCTGCCCCTGGGCAGTGGGGGTGGTGAGGGTGGAGGTTGGCTGTGGGTAGTTCGTTTTCCCTTTCTCTGGTGCTGCTTTCAATTCTCTGAAGGGGCCTTCTCTCCCCTGGGTGCAGGCCCTGGGGCCCTGGGGTCTCCGTGAAGGTCCTGGCTCCCAGAGGCCCGGCTGAGTCAGGGCTTCTGCTCCATCAGCCCTGCCCCCAGCGTCCCTGCCCAGCCGCCCCTGTTCCCTGGTCACCCTGGCCCTCAGCCCGTTTCTGTGACCTTTGCACCACCCTCAGCTCAGGGTCCTCCTCGCAGGGAGGCAGCCTCTGAGCCAGAAATCTGCAGGGAGCTGGGTTAGGCTACCAGGGTTAGAGGCTCTTGGGCCCCTCCCTGGGTGTGGGTGTGTCGGAAGTGTCTAGCATGATCCAGTTTCGAACTTTCAGGGCCAGAGTTGAAGCGTTGATCTTTCAGTCCTAGGGACTGAACCTAGGGCCTTCACACTCAACTATATCCCAGCGGTTTTTTATTCTTTTGGGATAAGGTCTCAGCAGTTTGACCAGGCTGGTCTTGAACTTGTGATCCTCCTGCCTCAGCCTCCCCAGTAACCAAGAGCAAAGTTAGGGAGTAGGGTCTGGGGTGAATAGCTTCACTGGATAAGGGAGCTTCCCGACTGGAGGGAGGCAAGCCTATGTGCTGTTGGGAGCCAGGATCCCAGCGACACAGAGCAGGGTCAGGGCCAGCCTGGTGCTCAGCGTGCATTAGAAACTGGCTGTGGCCAGGTGCCGCAGGGTTTGCCTGAAATCAGTCCAAGCACTCATGAAGCTGAGGCAGGAGTTTGAGGCCAGCTGGGCTACATCCTGTGTGAACTACAGGGTGAGAATTGCGTGGAAAAAAGAAAAGAAATGGTGGTCACGTGGGGCATGTGTGCACAGGGCGTGCCCCGTGCCCCGGTGTGTGGAGATGCCTTCGCAGCCCCTGGCTCTGCACACTCCGGGCTGGCTCTGCAGGCCTGCCATTGCCTGCCTGCTGCAGACTGCATGCATGCGCGCGCGCGCAGGTGTGCGTGCGTATGTGTGTGCGCGCGTGCATTCTCGGCCAGCCCCTCCTGCGCACCCCCAGCTGGGTTCCCATTGTGTGGGCCCAGCGGGGTTGGGTGGGGGAGAGGGCAGCAGCTGGAGTGGTGGGCGGAGTCCGAGGCTCTGACGTCACCCTCACCGCAGGGAGGGGAGCCCAGCTGAGGGGCGTAGCAGAATTGCTGAGGTTGTAGAAGTAGGGGTCATCCTCGAACCCCGGCTCCTCTCAGGGTCCTGCCTTCTCCTGAGCCAGGGCCCGTGCCCCCTCAGCCTGTCATCCCGCGCAGGTGGCGGGCTGGGCCAAGTGGGCCCGGAAGTCCCGACCTCTTCCCCCCAGGTCTGGCCTGGAGCTCTGCACTCTGTGGCCCCTCATCAGGCTTGGAGCCTGGGGCCTGGGCCTCCTGAGGGTTGGGCAGGGGTGGCCTACATTTTGGTTTTCTGTGGCTATTTTCAGTGCTGGGGTTTCCACCCAAGTCCTTTGTGCTGAGCCATGTCTCCAGCTCTTTGTTTGTATTTATGTTTGAACTGTGGAATAAGGGGCCCACTAAGTTGTCAGTATGGGATTTGAACTTGTGATCCTCCTGCCTCGGACCCCAGAGTGGTGAGATTACAAGGGTGCACTACCATGCCTGGACAGCACCCCACCTGTTTGTTGTTGCTGCTGCTGCTTTTCTTTTTAAGACAGGGTCTCGCTGTGTAGCTCAGGCTGGCCTCCAGCTCACTGTGTGGCCCAGGCTGACCTTGAACTCCTGGTGATCCCCCTGCCTCAGCCTCCTAAGTGCTGGGATGCGTGGCGTGCATCACCAGGCCCGGCATGGTCTTCATATGAGTCACACTATGTCATTCGTGTTTCAGAAATTCACCCATGCAAGTATACAATTCCCTGGTTTTAGCATATTCACAGTGTTCTTTGGCTGCCCCCAAATCAGTTTTAAAGCTCTTTCATCCTCCAAAGAGCCTGCATGCCTCCAGCAGCTGCCTCCGGTTTCTCTCAGCCCTTTGGGGCAGCCCCTGGTTGGCAAGGGCAAAGCTACAGTCTACAGAGTAGCCTCTCCTGGGCATCGCATAGAAATAAGACCGCACAGTACGCTACCCTTTGTAGTGACCATTGTGTTCAAGGTACTTGGTTTCTTTTTTTGGGTGAATAATATTCCACTATATGGGCATACAGTATTTTATTTATCCATTCACCAGTTAATGGGCAGTTTGTTTGGTTTCACTTTTTGCAGAACCTTTGTGTGCAGAGCTTTTTGTGCAATCAGGGCTTGTGCATGCTCCGCCAGCCACCCCCCATCCCTTCCCCCTGTTTATCTATTTATTTGGTTTTTGGTGGTACCAGGGATCGAACTCAGGACCTTGTGCTTGCCAAGAAAGCACTTACTCCACTGAGCTATCTCCCCGGCCCTCTTGTTGATTTAGCGCTTCTGTCTCTTGGGAGTGGCCTTGCCGGGTCCTGTGCCAGGTCCTGTCCTAACCATTTGAGAAGCTGATAAACTCTTCCAAAGCATCTTGCTGTTCTGTGTCCCACCAGCGGTGCCCAGGGACCCCAGGTTCTCCACATCGTTGCCAGTACTTACCATGTTTTTTTTTTTTTTTTTTTTTTTTTTCCAGAATTGAGGATTAAACTCAGACCCTTGCGCTTGCCAGGGAAGCACTTATTCTACTGAGCCATCTCCCTGGCTCTCTGTTCTTTTATTACGGCTGCCTTAGTGGGTGTGTAGTGGTTTCTTAGGGAGCGCACTGGAGGCCAGTTACCTGGGGGGAGAAAGAAGAGAAGGAGCACGCGGCGTTGGGAGGAGCTCGGTGTGGTGTGTGTGGGTCCTGAATTCTTTTCTGTTGGTGGCTGCTCAGCCCACCCTGGAGGCGGGGCTGGCACAGCATGTCTGGTCCCAGGGCGCTTGCCTGAGCAGGCAAGACTGCTGAGCTATCTCACTGGCCCTGGTCACGAATTTTTTAGGCATCTCTCTTCTTTCATCATGTACCCTATGTGTTATGTGTCTATTTTTAATGTTTTGGTTTTCTTGAGACAGGGTCTCACTGTGTAGTCTTAAGGTGGCTTTGAACTCACCTTGTCACCCAGGCTGGACATGAACTTGCGGCGATCCTTCTGCCTCAGCCTCCCGAGTGCTGGGATTACAGTTTATCTGTCTACTTCAGCATAACTACATTAGAATAAATTGGAAGCATCTCCATGGGTGTATTTCTCATTCCCGTTTTCTGCTGTCCTGGAATCTCGGGGCTTCTGGAGCTGCCTCTGTCTACCTCCTGGTGTTACCTACGCATCCTCCACCCAGCTGTTCAAACAGGGTGTGGCGCTGTGTACCCTGCTTGGGTGGGGGGTGTCTGGCCTTTCTTCCTCTGCCTGTCCACCCATTCTGACTGGTCCTCACTTCCCTCCAGCCCTCCCTTGTGGGGTGGGCAACCTCTGTCCCACCGGACGCACTGCCTCCTGTGGACCAGCCGGGCCACAGTTATGTGGCGTCGATGTTCCTGGTTTCCATTTCCCTCTCCAGCTGTGTGCAAACAGCCCCCCTCTCCAGCCCACAAGACTGACCGACCCATCTGGGGTACTGGGGCTTGGTTTTGGGGGGGAAGTGCTGTAAGCCAGGCCCCCAGCTGAGGGAGTCACTTTCTGAGAAGTGCCAGTGCTTTAGGGAAGCAGGTTTTCCTCCCGCCCTTCTCTCAGGGAAGGCTCCCGCCTTGACCTCAGGTAACCCGCACTGGGCACTGGGGCAGGAGCTGGCTGCCTCCCTCCGTGGCCCGGCCCTCAGGTGGCACAGGGCACCTTCTCCCCAGGGGTGCTGGGTAAGAGGCTCTTGGTTCTCGGGTTGTGTCCTCACCCCCGGCCTGGCAGTGTTCTCCCGCCACTGCCAGCTAAGTCTGGGCCCTGCTCCCAGGCTGGCTCTGCCAGCAGGCACGGTGCCAGCCGTCTGCTCAGCTGGGTGCCACGGGAAAATCTCCGGCCGCCCAGGTTGGGGCGCTCTGCCGGAATCCCGTGCCTCCGTGGCCGCTCACCTGTCTTCCCTCTTTCTGCAGTGCCATGGGACATGGCTCCCCAAGCCACCTCGCTGGGGCTCATCTAGGAGTGGCGTCCCCTGTGTTACCCTGAGGGCAGCTCTGGACCTTCCCGAGAAAGTGCCATCTCACGGAACCACTCCACAAGAGACCAGCTCTTGGGACGTCCTGCAGCCCATCGGCCCCAGCACCGGGAGGGCTCCCGGAGGCCACACCCAGCGTGCTGACCTCGGACAGCAGCAGCTGCAGGACGGAGGGGGGAGGCCGAGCCCCAGGCCTCCACTGGGCCCAGGCCTCATGCCCCGGTGCGGGGCGGCCTGAAGCCCCCCACAGCCCGACTGGACTGTCCATCTGCCCTTCTGGCTGTGGCTTCCTGGCATGGCCAGCAACAGCAGCTCCTGCCCGACACCCGGGGGCGGGCACCTCAGTGGGTATCCAGTGCCCCCCTACGCCTTCTTCTTCCCCCCCATGCTGGGCGGACTGTCGCCACCAGGCGCCCTGAGCACGCTGCCGCACCAGCTTCCCGTGAGCGGATACAGCACCCCGTCCCCAGCCAGTGAGTGTGGGTGTGGGGGATCTGGGGCACCGAGCTGGCTGGCTGTGTGTGCCCAGATGCGGTACGGTGGGGGGCTCATGGGGTGCAAGAGAGAAGGCAGCTGTGTCTGATGTGGGGGTGGTGAGGGCAGTGCCTTCAAGGGCCCTCCAGGGCCTTATAAATAGCTCCAGGGACCTCTGCCGAGGTGGTAAACAAACCTCTCGAGGTTTGTGGCAGCTCTATCAGGGAGCAAGCGATCAAAGCCACCACCAATGCCACCCCTGTCTGGGCTTCCCAAGGAGGGGGAGAAAGGGCTGGAGAGACAGCCGCCCGCTGAGCCATCCCTCCCCTGGCCCGGCTGCTGTGTGCCTGGGTGCCATGGTCCTGGAGGGGGACTCAGCCTGCACTTTGGACTAGGCACTGCCTGATGGCAGTCTCTGCCCTATGCCCTGGGGTCATCTGTTGGCCGGTTGGGGGGCTCTGGAGTCGGCCTTGGCCGGCCAGGCCAGGTAGTGGGAGGTGGCGGTGGTGCTGGCCAGCTGGCAGTGGCCAGGCCTGGGGCCTGCCAGGCCGCTTACAGTAACTCTGGCCCCCAGGGCCCAGCTGGGCTCCAGGCCAGGGCCGGGAGGAGGGAGCCCGGCCTGGCTGGGAATGAGGGGGTGGAAGCCGCAGAACAGGCCGCTGCGGGCGGGACTGCGGTCAGCTGCCCTGGGGAACGCGTCCACCTCTTCAGGGCCTGAGCGCCAGGCCCTGCCTGGGCACCCACCGCTCCCCACATGGCTGCAGCCGGCTGCTGGGCACGGTCACCCTGTGTGCCAGCCCGGCAGGGTCAGCGCCCCTTCTTCGTGTGGGGGCAGCACTGTCTCCAGAGCCAGGGAGTCTCTTTGTCCCCAGAGCAGGCTCTGGCCAGGCGCCTTGCCGCCTGCCCTGGCCTACTGCCCACCGCCACCGCTGCTTCCTGGCTCGCCGCCTCAGGCTCAGCCGCAGCCCCTTCCCTCTCGGGTCCCACCAGCTGCCAGGCGCGGGAACTTTGTGTCCGTGCTCCCTGGGTCCCTTGCCCTTGAAGCCCTGGCTGAGATCAGGCAAATGCTGCCTCAGTTTCCTCAGTGACAGTGTTTCATTCCTTCCTGTCGCTGCTGCACTCCCCTCTCCAGCCTGCACAGGATTCTGGGCGCCCTGATTCAGGTCTGGTCCAGTCTGTGCTGGGATGGGGTGCAGGGTTGCTGGGTATTAAGCTGGTACATCTGGCACCTGAAGTGAGCAGGATTTATTTTCTGGTCTGGGGCACCAGAGCGGGTGCGTTGTCTGCTAGCTGCTGGGGTGAGATATTTTATTTGGCAGCTTGAGCCCAGGGTCTTCCTACTTGGAACATTCCCAGCTTTTTTTGTTTGTTTATTTTGCGACAAGATCTCACTGAGTTGCTCAGCCTGGGCTTCAACTTCTCATCTTCCGGGCTCAGCCTCGCGGAGTGCTGGGTCTCAGGCCTGTGGCCTTACGCCTGGCTGGGTGGAAGGTTTACAGAAGGTAGGGAAGGGGATCCTGTGATAGGTCTATGCACCGCCGCTCCTTCCCCAGGTGACAGGAAGCGAACAGGGGCTGGGCTCCCACGTCCAAGCTCCGTGCCAGTGATGCAAATGGCTTCCCCGCCCTGGGGTGTTGCAAGGTCCTTCCTCTTTCTTGGAGTTGGCCGGGGAGGGCTGCCCACCCCGTAACCCTCTGCTTCAGGGCGGGGCACCCTGCGGGACGAAAGCGGTCGGAACACCCTGTGAGGCAAGGCCTGCAGCCTTTGCTTTCCCAGCTCTGCCCCCTTCCTAGTAAATAACAACACTTTCTCTTCCTACCCACCCCTCCCCCACCTCCCGGCCTGGAGCGTTTTGTGCGGCCCAAAGGTGTGGCCTTGGGGCCGGGATGCTGCCCCACGCACCTGCTCTGCTTGGGCTGCAGCTGGGCTGGGCTGGGCGCCGGCTGTTGCGGGAGAAGTGAGAAGTGAAGGCCTCCCACTCCTGTTCCTCTGCCATCCTGCATATTTTTATTTTATTTTGTTTTAAAAGCTTTTTTTTTTTTTTTTTTTTTTTGGGGCAGTACTAGGACTCAAACTCCAGGTACCTGGCTTACCACTGAACTAAGTGCATGGACCTTTTTTTATTTTAATTTTTTTTTTTGTCTTTTTGAGACAAAAATCTCACCCTGCAGTTCAGGCTGACCTTGAGCTCTCCCAGAGATCCTCCTGTCTCAGCCTCCTGAGTGCTGGGATTATAGGTGTATGCCGCCATGCCTGGCTTTGCAGGCCTTTTAAAATTATTTATTATTTCTGTGTGTGCAGGATCTCACTATGCAGCCCAGACTCGTAGTGATCCTCCTGATTTCTGCCTCCCTAGTGCTGGGATGACAGGCTTGCGCCTCCTTGCCCTGACTCCATCGCTGGCTCTGCACACCTGGGGATGGGGCCAGTGCAGCATGCGTTGTCAGGGATCGAACCCTGGCCGCTGCACTTACCTAAGCAAGTGCTTAATCAGCTGAACTATTTCGTGGGGCCTTAATTTTTTATTCTGAGACAGGGTCTCAGTCACGTCCAGACCAGGGTCAAACTTGTGGCCTCAGCCTCCCAGGAGCTTTGCTTACAAGCCTGTGCCACTGTACATGGTTCTCTGCCACCCTGTTAGGAGGCGCCCTCCTCAAGCTCCCTCCCCCCCAAGGTAGGCAGAAGGCAGCTCCTCTGGTCACTGTGGGAGGGCTGGTACCTCCTGCCTGGCTGGGAGGGGAGGAGCCAGCGAACACGCCCCTCAGCGCCTGCGCAGGCGCGGTCGGGTGTTAGCGGTGTTTATATGCTGGCTGGGACTGCACTCCGCACCGTGGGGCAAGGGTCAAGGTTGAGTGTCTGCAGGACCAAGATTTATGGCTTCGTGCGGTGGGGAGCTTGTTCCAGGCTTGTTTAGGGAGCCTCAGAGCAGAGCTGGGGCAGGGGGTGTCGGCTCGCTCCTGGGCTGGGGCATGATATAAGGTACAGGGTGGCTGACGGGCCGTGACCTCAGGGTGTGGGAGGAGAGGACATCAGTGTTTGTGGAAGGAGGCTGCCAGCCCTGGGAATTCCCTGTGTTGTGGGCAGTAGCCTCCCAGCTGCAGCTGGCCACTGGTGCCACCTACTGTGCGCACTCACTCTGAGCAAGTTTTGTCTTCTGTAAGACGCTGGGGAGGATGAGGCAGGAGGACTCCACAAGTTGGAGGCCAGCCTGGGTAGCGAATTTCTGTCTCACAGAAAACAACAACAACAACAACAACAACAACAACAACAACAAAACAAAGCAGGGTAGAGATTTACAAGGCCATCGGGTGAGCCCTGGGCGGCGAGACATCCTGGGGAGGTGGTGGAGCATCTCACATTTGATGTGTTTTATGAATTTTAATCTCTCCAGTCCCGGAACAGGGACTTTATCCCATGCACAGCACATGGGAGCTGAGGCCGGGCAGAAACAGTATGGAAGCGGGCGCTGTGTGGGAGGGACCCCGGGACACCCCTAGGGCCAAGCCCCCTGCAGCCCCTCATGGCTTCCCAGGGGAGAGAGGGAGGTAAGAGTGGGCCACTCCGCATTGCAGGTGTGGAGGCAGCCCGCTGGGGGAGGGGGTAGCGTTGCAGCTGTGTTCCTACTTTGTTTCAGTTGTGGGGGGGGGGGCAGGGGAGCCCTGTGCTAGCAGCCGAGCGTCGGGATGGGCGCGGCGGAGTCCTGTTGTCCAGTTTGCTGTGTAGGTTGGAGATAGTCAGGCCAGAGCCAGGGGGAGCCGGGTAGGAGCTGGAGCGGGAGCGGGCAGGAGACAGGCGGGCCTTTCCTCTCTTGTACTGCCCCCCCCAAGCTGGTGGTATCAGCCCTCCCTCTCTGGTAGGATAGGCTCAGTCCTGCCTCTCCTGGGTCCAAAATGCATTTGGCCCAAGGAGGGGCTTGAAGGGAATTGGACCTTTACATTTGATCTCATAGCCAGGATGCTGCAAGCGCCCCAGGAGAGGGGCCTTGGGAAGAAAGCCCAGCCCATCTTCCTCCCAGGCTGAGGCACAGTGTCGGGGGATGTGTGCCCACTGGCTGTCCAGGGCAGGGCAGGGCTGCCCACCAAGGGGTGGCATCCGCAGAAACAGGAAGTGGCACCCCTGCCCAGATCATGGTGGGGTGGTCCTTTCCTCGCAGCCTGAGACTGGAAGCAGCTTGGCTCTGGGCAGATGAGTAATGAAGTTCTATCTGTGTTTGGAGCCCGGGCTGCTGGATGCCTGCACCAGACCGAAGGTGACCTGACCACCATGCCCCTGACCATGGCTGCAGCCTCTGCCTCGCTCTCTGCCCTTCTGCACTGAGACTCCTAACCCGGGAGAGGTGTCATGAGGCCAGCGACTCACTCGTTGATGGCGGTCTCGAGGAATCCCAGCTGCCTTGCAAGGACACTGATGAGGGGGACAGGGTGGCCACGGAATCTAGCACACAGCTTGTGCCCACTGGGCCTCTGGGGCTGTTTGGGGGCCCCTCCAGATGGGAGCCTCTCTTGGCACCGCCCACACCTGCTGAGGGCTGAGCCAGGCTGGGCACAGCAAGGCCCCTCTCTGCCCTGGCCATCGGCACGCCATGTTCTGCTGGTCCTGCTCGGGGTCCTTGCTGCTGCTGCCAGGGACACCGCTCGGGGACACTGCTCTGCTTCTGTTCTCTGGCTCTGGGACTTCTATCCATCGTTAGGGCGCGTTTTTAGGGCTGCCTCTTCCCAGAACCGTCCTTTGAATGCCTGTGGCTGTTTTTTGTTCTTGTAACAAAAGAACAAAAAAAGGGATACAGTCCCAGTAAAGAATGTGAGATGGTCCTGGGGCTTGGAGGTGGTGAGATCTCTCTGCAGCAGAGCTCCTCCTCCCTGCCCCTCACACAGGAGGGCCCTGGTCCTCCCCCAGCCTCAGTGGCCAACACCTGTGCGCCTGCCAGACCTGAACCCCTGAACTCTCCTCCATCTGCCTGGTCTCAGGAGCTCTGTGAGTAGACAGCACTGCTGCCATC